TCTTTATTTACTGTCCTGATTTAAGACATTTTTAATTTAACACATCCCAACAAAGAATTCCCCCAGGCAGGAAGCAGCCAGGCTTTGAAGCTGCAAGGCCACTCAATACTGGAATTCCTTTGTTTTTTGAGTGTTCCTCTTTATTTACTATCCTGATTTTAGACATTTTTAAATACTGGTTTAATCAGGGCCACTTAACACATCCCAACAAAGAATTCTCCCTGGCAGAAAGCAGCCAGGCTTTAAAGCTGCAAGGCCATTCAATGCTGAAATTCCTTTGTTTTTGTTTTTTTAGTGTTCCTCTTTATTTACTGTCCTGATTTTAGACATTTTTAATACTGTTTTAATTGCGGCCAGTTAAACACATCCCCCAGGCAGGAAGCAGCCAGGCTTTGAAGCTGCAAGGCTAATCAAGGTGGTCAATGGCAGCATTCACACTTGCCTCAAGCAGGCGAGAGTTCTTTCTCCCACTTTGGACATTATTCCACCTAAATTTCCTAGTTTCCGACAGACCTCACAACCTCTGAGCATGCCTGCCATAGATGTGGGTGAAACGTCAGGAGAGAATGCTTCTGGAACATGGCTGTACAGCCCGGAAAACTCACAAAAAGCCATGTAAGCCTTCGACAATACATTTAAACACAGAGAAGTTCTTCCTAAAGCTGTTTTTTTTTCATGAGTGGAGCTACTGAGCCACTTAATTATTTTATATATATATATATATATATATATATATATATATATATATATATAAAATATTATTTTATACATTATAAATATATAATATATTTAAATTTTAAATATGCTATTTAAAATAGCATGCTAATGCACCAAATATCCTTAATAAACTTGCATAATAATAATAATAATAATAATAATCTGGTCAAATCACATACTGCAATCCCAGGCCACTCAAGACAAGCTTCTGCAAAGTGCCATTTTCCAATAAGATCAATAGATTTGCTTTATTATTTCCTATGATGATGATGATGATGAGGAGGAGGATGATATAGTCCACACCCATTGTCTGCAATCACTGCATTGAGCAAAACTGCCGAGTCATGGTTGCTCCGCTCAAAGCTGCACCCGCCTTCAAACGTGTCACCAAATTGGCAGATCAACACATGCGGTCAGCAAAAGGAAGGCAAGAGAGGTACCAAGGCCGCCCTCCTGCTTTATCAAACCCCTGTTGGTGGGATTTATAGTTTACCTACAATCAAAGAGCATTCTGAACTCCACCAATGATGAAATTGAACCAAACTTGGCACACAAAACTCCCATGACCAACAACAAATACTGGAAGGGTTTGGTGGGGAGTGACCAAACCCTTCCAGTTTGGGAGTTGTAGTTCACCTACATCTAGACTTAAACCATGATGGATCTGGACCAAACTTGGCACAAATATTCAATATGCCCAAATGTGAACACTGGTGGAATTTGGGGAAAACAGACCTTGACATTTGGGAGTTGTAGTTTCTGGGACTTATAGTTCGCCTACAATCAAAGAGCATTCTGAACTCCACCAACGATGGAATTGAACCCAACCTGGCACACAAAACTCTCATGACCAACTAAAAATACTGGAAGGGTTTGGTGGGCACTGACCTTGATTTTTGGATTTGTAGTTCACCTACATCCACAGAGTACTGCGGACTTAAACCATGATGGATCTGGACCAAACTTGGCACGGATACTCAATATGCCCAAATGTTAACACTGGTGGAGTTTGGGGAAAATAGACCTTGACATTTGGGGGTTGTAGTTGCTGGGATTCATAGTTCACCTACAATCGAAGAGCATTCAGAACTCCACCAGCCTCTCTGTGTACATACTTTGAAGGGCATTGCTTTGGTTCTCTAATATATTGCATCTAAAAGTGTCCCTATGAACAATTCTCCCCCATACGCACTGCCATGTTGCATCTTATACTACTATCTTACCGATAACGCCTTAGATCAAGAAATAATTATATTTATATGAGATATATATATATATATATCATATAAATATAAATAATTATATATATCATATAAATATAAATATTTATATTTATATGAAATATGTATCATATAATTATATTTATATTATATATATATATCATATAAATATAAATAATTATATATATCATATAAATATAAATATTTATATTTATATGAAATATATATCATATAATTATATTTATATGATATATATCATATAAATATAGATATTTATATTTATATGATATATGTACAGTAATATAATATTAATCTATATCCTATTATTATTTATATGTATTATTATATTATAATGAATATTATGTAATAATATGCAATAATACGTTATAATATAATATATATTAATATATTTTATAATAATATATTATTACGTTATTACATCATTATAGCCACCCCCTGCCATGCATAACTGTGGCTCAGTCTGTTTATATGTGTTTTCTGTGTGTATATATTTGTGTATATGTGTACATATGTGTGTTTGTGCGTATATATGTGGTTTTGCACATGCGTTGTAATGTATTTTTTGTTTTTTGGCTTTTTAAGTCCCTTCTGCTGTGTTTTTATGAGTGATGGTCACTCGTTGGCCTGAGAGGTGTTTGTGTCCAAATTTGGTGTCAATTCGCCCAGGGATTTTTGTGTTATGTTAATCCCAAAAACAAACATTAAAGTTTTATTTATATAGCCATCCCCTTCCACGAGTTGCTGTGGTCCAGTCTATGTATATGTGTTTTGTTTGTGTATATATTTGTGTATATATGTGTGTGTGTGCTTTTGCGCATGTGTTGTAATGTAAATTTTTTGGCCTTTTAAGTCTCTATTTGAATTTTTATTTTATTATTATTACCATTATTTTATTATTATTTTTAATGTCATTTTGATAATGTTGTTGTTGTCTGATGTATATGCTTTGATTTTATTGCTGTATTATGTTGTCTGGGCTTGGCCCCATGTAAGCCGCTCCGAGTCCCCATCGGGGGGATGGTGGCGGAGTATAAATAAAGATTATTATTATTATTATTATTGTTGTTGTTGGCCTGATAGGTGTATCGTGTTCAAATTTGGTATTAATTCATCCAGTGGTTTTTGAGTTATGTTAATCCCACAAATGAACATTACATTTTTATTTATATAGATTAAAATAATAATAATAATAATAATAATAATAATAATAATAATAATAATAGACAATAATTAGGCCTGCTTAACACAGGAGGAGATACTCGAAAGGAACATCTCAGCAAGCAAGAGTCCAAAAGTGGCAGGTTAAAACCCAGAACCTCAATCATTGGCTGGTATCAAATGAGAGATTCCCTCCTGGGCAACTTGGAAGGCCCAGTTTACCTGTCTGAATGCATCTCCCTTTACTAACCACTGTGGAAACTAAGATCTTCTGGAGAGGCCCTGGTCTCAGTCCCACCACCATCACAGGTGTATTTGACAGAGATGAGAGACAGGGCCTTCTCAGTGATTGCCTCCCGCTTATGGAGCTCCCTTCCTGGCAATATGAGATCAGCCCCTTCCCTCCTGTCCTGTGGGACCAAGCCGTTGGGACAGTGCAAGGAGGCAAAATGGTGTCCTGAGATGGTTTTTAAGCCACTTTTAATGTGAATATAAATGATTTTAATGGTTGTTTACATTTGTGGTTTTATGTTCCAGCATTGAATGTTTGCCGTATGTATGTTGTGCTCTGCCCTGAGTCCCATGCAGGGTGAGAAGGGTGGAATATCAATGTTTTAAATAAAATAAATAAACAAAGGCGCTGAACAGACTCCACAAGATGTGGAGCCAACCTCAAGAAATGGGGCCACAAAGTGGAGTCCATGACATGCGAGTGTGGAGAAGAGCAAACCACAGGCCACCTGCTGCAGTGCAACCTGAGCCCTGCACATGCACAAGAGAGGATCTTTGAGGTACTCTGGTTTTTTAAATCTTTGCGTGTTACTGTTTACATGCGAGTTACATTAATTGTATTGTTTTTGCTTATTGTTTTTTGTTCTATTGATGTGTTGTGGGGCTTGGCCTCATGTCAGCCACTCCAAGTCCCCTTGGGGAGATGGTGGTGGGGTATAAATAAAGTTATTATTATTATTATTATTATTATTATTATTATTATTATTATTTATTACTCCAAGTAGCAAAGACATTTAGTAGAATGGCAAGTTTTTAAACTGTGTTTATATAAAAAAAACAAACACAACAACGGTACCCGCGGTTCGCCTCTGATACGATCAATAAATTATTATTATTATTATTAGCTACTCCAAGTAGCAAAGATATTTAGTATAATGCCAAGTTTTAAAACTATGTTTATATAAAAAATAATACAAACAACGGTACCCGCGGTTCGCCTCTGATACGATAAATAAATTATTATTATTATTATTAATTACTCCAAGTAGTAAAGATATTTAGTATAATGCGAAGTTTTTAAACTGGGTTTATATAAAAAAATACACAACAATGGTACCCTCGGTTTGCCCCTGATACGATAAATAAATACATAAATTATTATTATTAACTACTCCAAGTACCAAAGATATTTAGTATAATGCCAAGTTTTAAAACTATGTTTATATAAAAAAAAATACAAAGAACGACGGTACCCTCGGTTCACCTCTGATACGATAAATAAATTATTATTATTATTATTATTATTATTATTAGTATTATTTACTCCAAGTAGCAAAGATATTTAGTAGAATGCCAAGTTTTTAAACTGTGTTTATATAAAAAAATACACAACAACAGTACCCACGGTTCACCTCTGATACGATAAATAAATAAACACCGATCAGGACGAATTCCCAGCAGCACCCCTCCTCCTTCCAAAGGTCTGTTTGGTCTCTTAGGTTTGTGGAAACAGGTGTTTACGTCCCCCTCCCCAAGAAAGGAGGTGTCCGTGCCGGGACACCTCCAAGGGATAATAAAGCCTTTGCAAAGGGAGGCCGGCGTTGTCCGGCAACTGTTGCTGCGCTGTGCGTCAAAAAGAGGAGCCGCACTCACCCGACTGTGCGCTGGGCTGGGCCGCCGCATCCGAGTCCTGCGTGCTCCAGGGCCGGTCCCACCCGGGCAGGCTGAGAGATTGCAAGCCAAGGCACAGGTCGTGGGCGTCCGGCAGGCCGCGGGGAGAGGACTCCTGCGCAGAAGGTGGGAAGAGCATCCTGCTGGCTGTGGACGACGACAACGATCCCTCCGGGTCCTGGAAGTCTGCGGGGAGGAACAAAAACACGGTTAAGAGTTTGGGGAGTTTCCCGGAGAGCTGGATCACCCCAATGGATGGATGGATGGATGGATGAACATCCGGAGGAGCATCCGGCCTGCAACCAGACCCACCTCCACCCTCTCTCGCTCTCTCCCGGCTGCCTGCACTACTGCCTGGGCCAGCATGTGACCAAGCGGCTGATGCTCACCGGGCTGCCAGAAACGTCACTCGGCCGTGCAAGACAGCCACATCTCCCACATCTTCTTTGCTCGTGGGGTTGAGCCGGAGAGCAACTCTGCCCATGGGAGCCGAGGCAGCGGTGTGCGGAAGGAGAAGCCCCAGGCAGACAGGGGAAGGCACTTAAGCAGGGAGCGCCCTTCGCAGCAGCGTCACCGCAGCCATGCTCGCCCTCCGCAATCGCTCCCACGGCGAGGCAGAGGCAGCACACACAGGCAGAGAGAGAGTCGGTCTGTTCCGACTGTGGGCTCGGTGCTCCTGGCCGCCCTGGCCCCGCCTTACCCTCCCTCCCCACCCAAAACAACCCTTTCCTCCCTGGAAGGCGTCCAGCTGCTGGCGCAAGCCCTGGAAGCAGCCAAATAATGCAAAGCTTCACAATTCTGCTGGCACCATCTCTTTGCGTACAAAAAAAATATATAACTTGGCGCATTGTTTGCCACTGTGGGTAACCTTTGACAATTAAACAAGAAAGCAGTGGAGCCCGAACTATGTTGGGAAGCATGTGTTGATGTGTCGGAAAGCACACTAGGAAATGGGGCGGTTATGGTGGCACAGTAGCAAGAGCTCCCACTGTTAGCCCCAGCTTCTGCCAACCTAGCAATTCGAAAACATGCAATTGTGAGCAGTAATTTGCCCGCTGCACGTTCGAATCCAGGGAGCGGCGTGAGCTCCCGCTGTTAGCCCAGCTTCTGCCAACCTAGCAATTCGAAAACATGCAATTGTGAGCTGTAATTTTCCCGCTGCAGGTTCGAATCCAGGGAGCGGCGTGAGCTCCTGCTGTTAGCCCAGCTTCTGCCAACCTAGCAATTCGAAAACATGCAATTGTGAGCTGTAATTTTCCCGCTGCAGGTTCGAATCCAGGGAGCGGCGTGAGCTCCTGCTGTTAGCCCCAGCTTCTGCCAACCTAGCAATTCGAAAACATGCAATTGTGAGCTGTAATTTTCCCACTGCAGGTTCGAATCCAGGGAGCGGCGTAAGCTCCCGCTGTTAGCCCCAGCTTCTGCCAACCTAGCAATTCGAAAACATGCAATTGTGAGCTGTAATTTTCCCACTTCAGGTTCGAATCCAGGGAGCGGCGTGAGCTCCCGCTGTTAGCCCCAGCTTCTGCCAACCTAGCAATTCGAAAACATGCAATTGTGAGCTGTTATTTTCCCGCTGCAAGTTTGAATCCAGGGAGCGGCGTGAGCTCCTGCTATTAGCCCTAGCTTCTGCCAACCTAGCAATTCGTAACATACCATTATATTGTAATATTATTAGTAATATTATATGTAATATAAAATATATAATTATAATATCATATTATTAGTATTATATTGTATTACATTATAATATTCTAAACATTATATGTATATACAATATATTATATTATTAGCATAGTACAATATCAGTATTATATATTACTATATTGTACGATACCATTACATTGTAATATTATTAGTACTATTACATGTAATATAAAATATACAATTATAATGTCATATTAATATTATTACATATTATTATAATCATAATATATTATTAGTATTATAAATATCAACCTTCTCACCCCGAAGGGGACTCAGAGCGGTTTACAAGATATATATACATAAAATACATGATATTAATAGCTCATGGTATGTACTATACCATTATACTGTAAAATTATTAGCAATATTACATGTAATATAATATATATAATTACAATATCATATTATTAGTATTATATTGTATTACATTATAATATAAATATTATATATATATATACAATATATATTATTATACTATACTATTAGAATAGTAAAATATCAGTATTAAATATTACTATATTGTACTATACCGTTATATTGTAATATTATTAGTAATAGTACATGTAATATAAAATATATAATTATAATTTATTATTAGTATTATATTGTATTACATTATATTACAAATATTATATGTATATACAATATATTATATTATAAGCATAGTACAATATCAGTATTATATGTTACTATATTGTACTATACCATTATATTGTATTAGTAATATTACATGTAACACAAAATATATAATTATATTTTATATTATATATTATATAATATATAAAATATAATTATATATTTGGTATTACGTTTTATATAATTATATAAAATATAATTATATATTTTATATAATATCATATTATTAGTATTACTATTATATTGTATTACATTAAAATATTAAAAATATTATATATATATATATATATATATATATATATATATATATACACACAACATACTATATTATATTATTAGTACCAGCACAGGAGACAATGTGAAACTAAGCCACAGATTTGCAGCCCAGATGGGCCTGAAACCAGCTCTCAAGCTCTATTAAGAAATGGCAAGCAAATGCACACTCTGCCAGGACTTGACCAGGACTCTTCTTCATTATGATCTGTAGGGATGATGCTTAAAGACACCAACGACTGGACTATGGACACAGCAGTGCATTTGCAGCAGCAATTCCATGCAAATTCAGAAGAGGAAAAAAACTCACAGAATACAAAACAGAGCACAAAGGCTGCAGAACGCGGTAATGAAGAAGCCCTAAGAAAGGCAGAGTGTTGTGGTTGCTAAGATATGCTCGAATGTGTGGGCACCGCCTGTGAATTCTCAGAGCCAGAGGGACGGCTGAATAACATTTCCAGGAGTCCTGGGGAGTGCCCGGCCTCCCATGGCAACAGAACTATGCAAAAGTACGCCTTTTCCTCTTTTTTTTTTGCACCCATAACTTCTGATGATAAGCACTCAAGGATATGAACTGCCTCCGCAGTGGGTTTTGCAAATCTTACTCTGATTTCTGTCATACCTGAAAAAGGACAAAATCAGAATATACGAGGTTTGAATGCAAAGTAATGCCTCCACCTGTGTAACTCCTCAACAGATGGCAGTACTGGTATGTGGCAGGTACTGGCTTGTTAAGTAGACTTTCCTCTACAGTTCCATTTTGGCGGGAAGTCTTAACAGGAAAAGTTATGCCTCCACCTTCGTAACTCCTCAACAGTACTGGTATGTGACAGGTACTGGCTTGTTCAGTAGACACTCCTCTACAGTTCCATTTTGGCGGGAAGCCTTACCATTGAACGGTTGTGTTGTTGAAGTGCGATGTATGGAACCCTGCGCAGATGGACGGTCAATGAGACTTAAGCAACGTATCCGGCAGGTACTGGCTTGTTCAGTAGATGCTCCTCTACAGTTTCATTTTGGAGGGAAGCCTTAGAATTGAACGGTTGTGTTGTTGAAGTATTGTTGTTATTATTTATTAATAAGGAGCCCCTGGTGGCGCAGAAGGTCAAACCACTGAGCTGCTGAACTTGCTGACCGAAAGGTTACAGGTTCGAATCCAGGGAGCCCTGCTTCTACCAACCTAGCAGTTTGAAAGCATGCCAATGTGAGTAGACCAATAGGTATCGCTGCAGTGGGAAGGTAACAGCGCTTCATACAGTCATGCTGGCCACATGACCTTGGAGGTGTCTATGGACAACGCCGGCTCTTTGGCTTAGTAATGGAGATAAGCACCACTCCCAGAGTCGGACACAACTAAATTTAATGTCAGGGGAAATCTGCCAACCAAAAGGTCGGCGTTTCTAATCCGTTAGCTGGGACTAACAAGCTCCCGTTGTTAGTCCCAGCTTTTGCCAACCTAGCAGTTCAAAAACATGCAAATGTGAGTAGATCAATAGGTATCGCTTCTGTGGGAAGATAATGGTGCTTCATGCAGTTATGCCGGCCACATAACCTTGGAGGTGTCTATAGACAAACAAATGCCGAAACAAATTACCTGGCAGCAGCTCCCTCCTTTCCTTTGCGATGGGCGTCGCACAGACTCCATTTAAATCGAGCGAGTTATCCAATATGGCATTGATCCGGCGGAAAATATCGGCATTGCTGCACGTGGTCAGCGCTGGAACGTCGCAGTTGTCCCAGCACTCTTTGGCGGTCCTTCCAATCCCTTCCTGCTGGGAAGAAAGCGGATGGCGTGAGCAACGTGGCATTGTTGACGTTTGCGTTAAAGTCATTTTTGAATTATGGCAGCCTCTAAGGAAGAAATGCACCAACTTGGGCCTTCCAGGTGTTTTGGACTCCAACTCCCAGCATTCCTAACAGCCTCAGGCCCTTTCCTTTCCCCCCTCAGCTGCTTCAGTGGTGATGGCATGATCGTCAGCATAGATGAAATTCTCCCTAAGGAAAACATATATCAACTTGGGCCTTTCAGGTGTTTTGGACTCCAACTCCCAGCATTCCTAACAGCCTCGGGCCCTTTCCTTTTCCCCGAGGCTGTTAGGAATGCTGGGAGTTGGAGTCCAAAACACCTGGAAAGCCCAAGTTCGTCCATGCATATTCTAGTCCATGTCAACACATAATGTGTTTATTACAAGGGTTGAATGAAAACTAATGCCTCCACCTTCATAACTCCTCAACAGATGGCAGTACTGGTATGTGGCAGGTACTGGCTTGTTCAGTAGACTCTCCTCTACAGTTCCACTTTGGCGGGAAGCCTTAGCATTGAACGGTTGTGTTGTTAAAGGTGGCCAGCCCCCAACCTGTACATTATTCTACAGATATATAAACTTCACTTGCCTAATTTCCAACAGACCTCACAACCTCTGAGGATGCCTGCCATAGATGTGGGGGAAACGTCAGGAGAGAATGCTTCTGGAACGTGGCCAGACAGCCCGGAAAACTCACAACAACCCAAACCAGGATTTGTTTCAAAATGCAACAACGTGGAAGAATCATCTTTGTGAGTCAGGAAATTGGACTTATTATGTATCTATGGAACCAGCTGTCTGTTATTAATTGAGTGGGGCTATCCAGTCCAACTCTCTACTAAGAAGCAGGAAAATTGCATTCAAAGCACCCCTGACAGATGGCCATCCAGCCTCTGCTTTAAAGCCTTCAAAGGAGGTGACTCCGACCACGTTTTTGCAATTTTAATACACTTTTTCCATGTTGTTGTGATAGAACCAATTAGGAAATGAGACTTATAATCCAGTCCAAGAAGCAAGAGAATTGCATTCAAAGCACCCCCAACAGATGGCCATCCAGCCTCTGCTTAAAAGCCTCCAAAGATGGAGACTCCAACCACAACTTTTTTGCAATTTTAATACACTTTTTTCCATGTTGTTATGATAGAACCAATTAGGAAATGACACTTACAATCTAGTCCAACCCTCTACAAAGAAGCAGGAGAATTGCATTCAAAGCACCCCCGGCAGATGGCCATCCAGCCTCTGCTTAAAAGCCTCCGAA